TTTTAAGGTCAAGATTAATATTTTTTTCTCAAGTCTTATATGATGTGATATATTAAATAAGTTAATATATAATATTATTAATAAAATTTTAAATTAAAAAATTAATTTATTATTTTACTTTCTAAAATAATATAAATTATAAATTATTTTATTATATAATAAAAATATTATAAAATTATAATATTATATAAAATAATAAAAAATTAGTGTATATCAATTTTAATTCTTAAAAATATTAGAATTTTGATTTATATTTAAAAATTAAAATTTCATTTTAAAATTTAATTTGTTTTTAAATTTTAATTAAATAAAATTACATAATTTCAAATTAAAATTTTAATTTTTTAAAAATCAAAATTAATATATATTTTCTTAAATTATAATTATTTCATTTTCATAAGACGAGAGACGTGGAAAATAGGTTAGGAGGACAAAAGAGCAGTTAAGTGGTGTCGTTTAGCAAAGGCACGGGGCAATATCTAGACAAGGACGTTCTGCACTTGGATTAACGAGATCTCAACATATGTTTGATAATCAGGAAAAGCAGCCGTTGGACGGTTTGCAGTACAGTCACAGAGACGAATATTAATTAATTTCATGAATTATTATTTGTACTTTTTTATTTCCAAAATTGAAAATAATGAGGAGAGAAGAGGAGGAAGCATCCCGATGTAAGAACTAAGAAGGGCCATTGTACGTCAGGGTAGGTTAATGCGTGGTAACTGAGAACTGACGGTTCAAGAGGCGTGATTGTGGGCCCACTAGTTTTTGGGTAAACGTAAGATAAATTGTCTTTCTCTAATTGTTTTTTTTTTTTAATACAATTAAAATTATTGTGGACGTGAAATTGTTAAGTTCTGGGGAATAAACAACATCAGAAAAAAAAAAAAAAAGAAAAAAGAAAAGTGTTAGAGAATAGCTACCTACTACTTTTTGTTGGAAAATAGGTAGTGAAATAACTACCTACCACTTGCGTTAAGAGGTAGGAAGTAATTGTTGATGTGAAAACATCATTTTGTCTTTAATTTTTTTTAATAAATTGTCAATCGATGAGTTTGAAATTGTCAATAAAAAAAAATATATTTCAAATTGACAGACTACTAATTAGATAAAAGAGTCAAGTGCATTTTGTATTTAATATTTAATTGTATATAATTATTACTACTTCACATGGTTCAATGTAGTTTGATAAGGTTGATAATAATTTTATGTAATTTTAAATTAATTAATTTTAAAATTATAATATGTTTTGTTTTCATTTTAAAAAATAATTTAATAATAAATTTGTTTTAAA